GGAGGGGACTTTCGGCAAATACTGCCAGTTGTGTTGAAAGCGTTGAGACAAGACATTGTTCATGATACAATCAATTCATCACCGTTGTTGAGAGAATGTAACGTTATGAAGTTGAACAAGAACATGAGACTTGAGTTGTCCTCCTCTTCCGCCAATGCAGATGAAATAAGAGAATTTGCGAAATAGATATTGAGAATCGGCAATGGCGATGGTGGCGAGGTAAATGATGGTGATGCCGCATTTGAAATTCCCGATGACATGCAGATTCGGAATTCTTCAGATCTCTTTTTGGATCTTATAGAATTTGCCTATCCCGATCTGGTGACCAACCTTTTCACTCCCGAGTATTTCGAAGGCAGAGCAATTCTTGCACCCACTAATGAAAGTGTCGGTTTTGTGAACGATCATTTTTTGTCGATCATAACTGGAGAGGAGAAGGTCTATTTCAGCTCCGATAGTATGTGCAAGGAGGAGTTATTGTCGGATGTCAACGCAGATATATACTCACCTGAGTTTCTCAACACCATATCATACTCCAGAATTCCACCGCATAAGTTGACATTGGAAAGAGGTATTCCCGTTATGCTCATCAGAAATATTGATCAGGCCAGAGGATTGTGCAATGGAACAAGGCTTCAGGTTGTTAATATGGGAAAATACGTTTTCAACTCCAGGTTCATATCCGGTAAACATATTGGTGATTTGGTGTTCATTCCTAGATGACTTTGGTACCGTCCAACTCTACATTGTCTATTAAATTCCAGCAACGTCAGTTTCCGCTGATGGTATCATTCGCAATGACAATCAATAAAAGTCTATGACAGACTCTTTCTCACGTGGGTCTGTATTTGCCGAGACCTGTTTTCAGTCACATGCAACTCTATGTCGCACTCTCGAGAGTTAAGAGTCGAAGTGGCATATAGATTTTGTTTAACTCGGAATCTGGTGATAGGACCAATGTTACAAATAATGTTGTATACAAGAAAGTTTTTCAGCATATATGAAGGTAATTCTATATACAAAAAAATACAATATTCATTGACCACCTTTATATTCTATTATTTATATGTTTTGTTATTTCTCATTTGTAGGTTTATTTTAATTGTACTAGGAACTTGCTATGGACTCCGCTCACTATATATCATGAAGATAATTTTATTACAATGATTTTATGCCATTAAACAGTGATATTGGTATTGTTTTGGTAACAATTTACATATTTCGTGTCACCATTGTACAACATATGCAGGTCAGTTCTATTGGTATTGTTTTGGTAATTTTTGTACAATGATTTTATACCATTAAACAGTTGCATTGTATCGGATTTGTTGCATGGGTTTAGGGCGGTTGGTATCAAACAATTCAAGTTTTCAACTTTCATCTCATTGTGGTTGTACAAGTTTGGGACCTACTATATATTCGCTCTTTTGTATATGGAAATTAAAACCTTCGATGTTTAGTTTTTTCACTTATATCGACTTATTTCATCACTTACACCATACAAATTAGTTTTATTTTTGAATATTTTCTATTTATTTCTTTTACTTATTAACAATTAATATTACTATTTCGAGAACCTTTTTAATTATTCAATATTTGTTTTACGATGAATACCCCGTGCATCGCACGGGTGTATTACTAGTAATATTTAATTTAGTGAATATTTCACCAAAATCAAAATCCACAAAAAAATCTTTGAAAAAAAATACAAAATCATATTTTTCCACCTCTCTATAAATAAACCCTTGAAAAATCTTCTCTAAAAATCACCACAGGTTTCAAATCATGGCCGAAACAATCATGAGTTTCAAATCAATCCTCATAGCCCTAATCTCCTTAACACAATGTGAAGCTTTCACCGTCGACCTAATCCACCGAGACTCGCCTCACTCTCCGTACTACAATCCGTCTCAATCTCATTATCAGCGCCTCACGAGCGCGGTCCAAAGATCGTTCAATCGTGTCCATCGGTTCAAGACCTCATCAAAATCACCACGGTCGGATGTCATCAACTCGGACGGAGAGTATCTAATGAAATACTCCATCGGCACACCGCCAATCGCGTCGCTAGCGATTGCCGACACGGGCAGCGACATCATATATGGACGCAGTGCCAGCCGTGCATCGAATGCTTCAACCAAACCCTACCGATATTCAAACCTAAGAGTTCGTCCACGTACAAAACCATCCCATGCAGCGACCGCAAGTGCAAATCGTTGTACGAGACTTCTTGCAGTAGGACTCGGAAAAACTGTCTCTACACCGAGACGTACGGCGACGGGTCATTCACAAACGGCCTTCTTGCGACGGAAACCATCACGCTAGACTCTAGCGATGGAAAAAGGGTTTCGTTCCCGAATTTAATATTCGGATGTGGATTTAAAAACGGCGGGATATTCGACGGGGGCGAATCGGGAATCGTCGGGCTCGGAGGCGAGACGGCTTCGCTCGTTAAGCAATTAGGTGAAGGGATGTTCTCTTACTGCTTGATCCCGTTATCGGACAATAAATCGAGCTCGAGTAAGTTGAATTTCGGCGACAGCGCTAGGGTTTCGGGTGAGGGGGTGGTGACCACCCCCTTGGTCAAGAAAGAACCGGACACTTACTACTATTTGACTTTGGAAGGAATCAGTATCGGGAGTCAACGCCTCGGATTCCGTGACCACAACAAATCGGATTCCAAGGGCAACGGTATAGATGGAAACGTGATCATTGAATAGAAAGTTGAAATGTTTTCTCTAAGTACTAAGGGAGTGGAGACCACCCCTTCACCCGAAACCCTAGCGTTGACTCCAAAATTGAATTTACTCGAGCTCGATTTATCGTCTGAAATCGGCACCAATCAATAAGAGAATTTCCGTTGACCGCCTTACAAGTGAGGCATTTCCACCTCCAAGACCGATAATTCCCGATTCGGCCCCGTCGAATATTCCCCCGTTTTCAAATCCACACCCAAATGTATAATAGAGGTAATAAGATGTTTTTCTTAGAGAGAAGATTTTGTAATAAAATTGTATATGGAGTTTTGAATTATCTTAATTGAGATTATACCTTTGACTTGGTGGAAATAAATTTTTAATTGATCTAGCATTAATATTAATACCTTTTAATTTAGTTTGTGAATTATCAAAATTGGAAAACTTATTACATTATTAAGAAATGAGCGAATGTGGACAAATTGTAGTACAAAGGTTGAAATGTCTGCCTGATTTTGTATTGAACAGTCAACTGAAATATTTCAAGATTATAGGATTATATTAAAATTACAAAAATAATAAAGGATTATATGGAACATATACGTTTTATGTAACTTGGTGTAAACATATTTGAAGGGTAAAAAAATTAAAATTTTAATACTTTGCACAAAGAAGAGAAATACTTTCGTATGAGGGTATTCGTTGAGGGCATTTCAGTATTTTCATTTTTGCAATAATATTTATTTTTGTTGCGTAAGGTGGCAAAATAAATTGTTTATTCCCCCACCGTTCAATCATTTTCTCACTAAATTACTTGAAAATTATATTTTATTGTATTATCTATCGGGTGGATCTGAACCGTAAATTTTACTTTTTTAGCATATGAATTGGGAAAGTCAACCATAATTTTAGTCCTTTTTAAATAAATCTTTTTAATCTTATAACATTTTGTTTTGACTGTTCAAAATAAATACTTGTAATAATATTGCATTAATATAGCATATTACACTAATAATTTTGCTCTATAAATAATAACTGTTATGTTTTTATCTAAAATCACAAACATCCCCTTACAAAAAAAAAAAAAAAAAAAAAAAAACCATGAAGTTCAAATCAATTTTCATAGCCCTAATTATTTCCCTGATTATTTCAATTTCTAAATGTAATCCATTATCAACTAAAGGGTTGACCGTTGACCTAATCCACAGAGACTCTCCTCAATCTCCTTACTACAATCCTACTCTATCTCCGTCTCAACGCCTCGCAAACTCGCTGCGAAGATCGTTCGATCGTGTCCGTCGATTCAATTGTTCAAAACCGCCGAGATCGGATGTAATCCTCTCGAACGGAGAGTACCTAATGAAATACTCGATTGGCACACCGGCAATCCCGTCGCTAGCGATCGCCGACACGGGCAGTGACATCATATGGACGCAGTGCCAGCCGTGCGCGGAATGCTTCAAGCAAGAACTACCCTTGTTCGATCCGAAAAAATCACGCACGTACAAAAACATCCCTTGCAATGCCGATAGCTGCAAATCTTTCCGAAGAAGTTCTTGCAGCAATAATACTACGAATAATCATTGTCTTTATTCCGAGGTTTACGGCGACCAATCCTTCACTAATGGCGACCTCGCAACGGACACTATTACATTAGGGTCGAGTGACGGAAAAACGGCGTCGTTTTCGAATATTATATTCGGGTGTGGATTTAGAAACGGCGGCGTGTTCGGAGGGGTGGAATCGGGAATTGTCGGTCTCGGAGGTGGGAAAGTTTCGCTCGTTAGGCAATTAGGTCAAGGGAGATTCTCTTATTGCTTGGTGTCTATGTCAGATAACGAATCGAAAAAATCGAGTAAGTTGAACTTCGGACACAACGCTAGGGTTTCGGGTAACGGGGTTGTGACGACACCGTTGGTCAAGAAAGAACCGGACACTTTCTACTATTTGACTCTGGAAGGAATCAGCGTCGGGGGTCGACGCCTCGAGTTTCTCAACGCGACGTACCGCGCAGACGGAAACATCGTCATCGATTCGGGGACCACGTTGACTTTGTTCCCTGTCCCTTTCTACAACAGATTTGAGGATGCCATAAGGAGTTTTATTAAGTTGAAGGAGATTCAAGATCCACAAGGGGCGTTGACTTTGTGCTACCACTCGGAAGGGGACATAAAGAATATTCCTGATGTGACAGTTCACTTCAGAGGGGGTGATGTGAAGTGGAAGTACGAGAATCTTTTTGTTAGGACGAGTGACGTGGCGGTGTGTTTGGCGGCGCAACCGGTGAATCTTGGGTTTTCTGTTTATGGTAACTTGGCCCACACGAATTTCTTGGTGGGGTATGATCTTGTCAAGCAGACGGTGTCGTTTAAGCCCACTAATTGTGGCAAATATTAGTTTAATTTTTAATTTGATTAATGTATGAGTTCCATCCCATTAGACTTGGGGGAATAATTAATTAATTAACTGGAAATCTATGTATTTAATTAATTGAAATGATATAAAATTTCAGTATATTGGAATATTTTTATACAATGCTATTTTTGTACCATAATATTTGAAGATTCCTATCCATACATGACATTTATATAGAATATAAAATGGCAAAAATACAGTTTTCATCCTTCGAGTGGACACCGATTTCACATTTGGTCCCTTATGTTTCAAAAATTCAACAATTTTAGTCATTTCCGTCAATCTCCCCTTAAAACCAAACGGAATCAAGCGTGTGCCCATCATTGCATTAACTCACGGACTAACGGTAAATTGACGAAAAAGACCAAAAGTGTTAAATTTTTGGAACATGAGGGACCACATATGTGTTTTTTGTGAATATGGATGACCAAATATGAAATCGGTGCAAACTTGAGGGATGAAAATTGTACTTTCCCTAATATTAAAATGAACATTTTTGGGAAAACTATAATTAAAAATTAAAATAAATTAATAAAGATTAAGTAGTAATAAAATCCATCCTCTTAACATAATCTTTTATAATCTTCCGAAGTTTTATTTTGAGTATTAATATAATTCAGTCACTAAAAAAAGTAATTACTTGTAATAAATTTGTACTAATAGAAGATCTACCAAATTTGATTGTGAAAGGTTGAACAACTAATGGACAATGTACATTACATTAATGTTAAAGCTAATTCTGCAAATTACAGAAACAATATACAATTTTAATTAATTGTCTACAAAATATTCTACAATATTACGAAAATTCTTTAAAAGTAAACACAATTTCAAACATGTTTTAATTTAATTTGCCTCTATAAATAATAATTTAATCTTCATCTCTAAACCACACCATCCCATCCTCTTACAAAAATCATTGCCAAAAAAACCATGGTGTTCAAATCAATTTTCATAGCCCTAATTATTTCCCTAATTATTTCCATTTCTAAATGTAATCCATCATCAACTAAAGGGTTGACCGTTGACCTAATCCACAGAGACTCTCCTCAATCTCCTTACTACAATCCTTCTTTATCTCCTTATCAACGTCTCGCAAATGCGATGCGAAGATCGTTCGATCGTGCCCGTCGATTTAAATTGGACCCCATCTCGCCAAAATCACCCGAATCGGATTTAATCCTCTCAAACGGAGAGTACCTAATGGAATACTCTATCGGCACACCGCCAATCCCTTCGTTAGCAATCGCTGACACGGGCAGTGACATCACATGGACGCAATGCCAGCCGTGCACCGAATGCTTCAAGCAAAAGTTACCCCTTTTCGACCCGAAAAATTCCTCAACGTACAAAAATATCCCTTGCGATACTAAATACTGCAGTTCTTTCCGACGGACTTCTTGCAGCGACAATAATAAAAATTGTATTTATTCCGCGGCTTACGGTGACGGCTCATTCACAAAGGGCGACCTCGCCACCGATACTATTACATTAGACTCTAGTGACGACGATGGCAAAAGCGTCGTTTCTTTTCCCGATATTAAATTTGGATGTGGATTTAAAAACGGTGGGATATTCGACGGGGGAGAATCGGGAATTGTCGGTCTTGGAGGTGGGCCCGCCTCGCTCGTTAATCAATTAGGTCAAGGGAAGTTCTCTTATTGCTTGGTGTCACCATCCGATAATAATAATAGTACTAAATCGAGCTCGAGTAAATTGAATTTCGGTGCTAACGCGGACGTTTCGGGTAGTGGGGTGGCGACCACGCCCTTGGTCAAGAAAGTTCCGGAAACTTTCTACTATTTGACGTTGGAAGGAATTAGCGTCGGGAATCAACGGCTGGAGTTCGGCGATCCGACGGCTCGTGAAGACGGGAACATTATCATCGACTCGGGGACGACGTTGACTTTTTTGCCGTTCGAATTCTACTTGAGCTACATGAACGCAATCAAGAGCTATATTAAGTTGAAGCAGATTGAGGACCCACAACATGTGTTGACTTTGTGCTACCACTCGAAAACCGACATAAAGAATATTCCTGATGTGACAGTTCACTTTAGAGGGGCGGATGTGAAGTTGAAGTACGAGAATGTTTTTGTCAGGACGAGTGACGTGGCGGTGTGCTTGGCGGCTAGACCTGTGCCTGGGGCTGGCTATTATATTTATGGTAATTTGGCACAAATGGATTTCCTTGTGGGGTATGATCTTGTGAAGAGAACGGTGTCGTTTAAGGCTGTTGATTGTGGCAAATGATTAATTAATTATGATTTTGTTATGGGTCTTGATGCAATAAATATATATGTTCAAAGTCAAAAAATTCAATTGGGCTAAATAATATTTTCTATTAGAGTATTTTAGAATGTTTATAAATTTGTGTTTCGAGTTTTTGAATTGTACTGCTTTTATATATTATTTCTCTATATATTATTTCTCTGTTAATTCAATAAGAATTACAATTAAATATTTATAATAAAATTTTATTATTAAAAAGATAGATTGATCGATATTACCCGACCAAATAACTTTTGAGTAAATTGAAATCAACGACCGGCCCATTTATATTTGGGTTGGTTAAAATTATCGGTCCGACAAAAAAATTATAATTGGCCAAAAAAACCGGGTCGAAAGTGGGCCGGTTCGCCGATAAAACCGACTCATGCCCAGCCCTAGGGGTGTGAACGAGCCGAGCTCGCCTCTTTTGGCAGGCTTGAGCTCGAGCTCGAGTCTATTTTATCGAGCTCGAGCTCGTCGAGTTCGTTCTTTTTTGCTCGAGCTCGAGCCCAAGCTCAATTTGTATTTTTGTTTTTTTTTTTAATATTTTATTATTATTATTTTATTATTATTAAAAAATATTTAAAAAAATTACAAAATAAACAATAAATTGTAATTAGATATATATAATTAAATATTTATATTTTATTTTTATTCATTTTAATATTATTATACATTTTTTAAATTAATATATATATATATATATATATATATATATATATATATATATATATATATATATATATATATATATATATATATATATATATATATATATATATATATATATATATATAAAAATAAATATATATATATATATATATATATATATATATATATATATATATATATATATATATATATTTATATTTATATATTTATATATATATATATATATAAAAAAAAAAAAAAAAAAAAATATATATATATATATTTTTTTATATATTTATTTTTTTTTATTATTTTATATAAAAAAAATATAAAAATTTTATATATTTTTTTACGCGCGCGCGCGCGCGCTATATATATATATATATATATATATATATATATATATATATATATATATATATATATATATATATATATATATATATATATATATATTGTATAATAATAATAATAAATAAGACTCGCGAGCCGGCTCGTGAGCTCATGAACAACTAAAAATTGGCTCGAGCTCGAGCTTGAAAAACTCGAGTCCGAGTACGAGCTTTTTTCAAGGCCGGCTCATCGAGCTCACGAGTCGGCTCGGCTCGTTTACCACCCCTACCCAACCCTACACACTCATTAATTAGCTAAAACACAACTTTTAAATCTCGATAAGAAAATCAAATAAGCTTGAACAACAGGAGATGGGAATATGATTATTGTAGCACTTTGTGTATTTATTTGTTCACATTCACCAAATATCAAAATTAAATACAAGTAATGTAAACATATAAGTTAAACCTTGTAAATTGTAATAATACCCCATTAAAAGTGCTACCAAATTTGAAAATTTCACAGATAAGCAGGTCAAACAAAATCTTCTCTTTCATAATATAATCTTTAATTTAGTGAATATTTCACCAAAATCAAAATCAACAAAAAAATCTTTGAAAGAAAATACAAAATCATATTTCTTCCACCTCTATAAATAAACACTTAGAAAAATCGTCTCTAAAAATCACCACAGGTTTCAAATCATGGCCGAAACAACCATGATTTTCAAATCAATTCTCATAGCCTTAATTTCCTTAACACAATGTGAAGCTTTCACCGTCGACCTAATCCACCGAGACTCGCCTCACTCTCCGTACTACGATCCTTCCCAATCTCGTTATCAACGCCTCACGAGCGCGGTCCAAAGATCGTTCCATCGTGTCCATCGATTCAAGACCTCGTCAAAATCACCACGGTCGGATGTCATCAACTCGGACGGAGAGTACCTAATGAAATACTCGATCGGCACACCGCCAATCGCGTCACTCGCAATCGCTGACACGGGCAGCGACATCATATGGACGCAGTGCCAGCCGTGCATCCAATGCTTCAACCAAACCCTACCGATATTCAAACCTAAAAGTTCGTCCACGTACAAAACCATCCCATGCAGTGACCGGAAGTGCAAATCGTTGTACGAAACTTCTTGCAGTAGGACTGGGAAAAACTGTCTCTACTCCGAGACGTACGGCGACGGGTCATTCACAAACGGCCTTCTTGCGACGGAAACCATCACGCTAGACTCGAGCGACGGAAAAAGGGTTTCGTTCCCGAATTTAATATTCGGATGTGGATTTAAAAACGGCGGGATATTCGACGGGGGCGAATCGGGAATCGTCGGGCTCGGAGGCGGAACGGCTTCTCTCGTTAGGCAATTAGGTCAAGGGATGTTCTCTTACTGCTTGATCCCGTTATCGGACAATAAATCGAGCTCGAGTAAATTGAATTTCGGCGACAGCGCTAGGGTTTCGGGTGAGGGGGTGGTGACCACCCCCTTGGTCAAGAAAGAACCGGACACTTACTACTATTTGACTTTGGAAGGAATCAGTATCGGGAGTGAACGGCTCGGATTCTCTGATAAAGAATCCGGTTCCGAGGTCAACGGTATAGATGGAAACGTGATCATTGACTCGGGTACGACGTTGACTTTGCTTCCGGCTGATTTGTACGGAAAGTACGAGAAGGCGATTAGGGGTATTGTTAAGCTGAAGGAGTTTAAGGATCCAAGGGGGGATTTCAGTTTGTGCTATTTGACGAGAGAGGATATAAGGAATATTCCTGATGTGACAGTTCATTTCAAAGGGGCGGATTTGAGGTGGAGGTACGAGAATGTTTTTGTCCGGATAAGTGACGTGGCGGTTTGCTTGGCGGCGGCGGCGTCGACGGAGATTGGTATTTTTGGGAATTTAGGGCAGGTTAATTTTTTGGTGGGGTATGATTTGGTTAAGAGAACGGTGTCGTTTGAGGCTGCTGATTGTGCCAAATTCTGATTATTATATTTATTTATTTATTAGGGCTTATATCAACTACAGTATTTGTGAAACAACACTTTTGTTTTTTTTTTTTTTTTTTGTTTGGCTTGTTTTTTCATAATCAACTATAAAATTACGGAAAACAAATATATTTTTTTTTCTACTTTTTTCCCCGAATCAACTTAACGAAAACTCTAAAACAACCACACAAATAGTTATAGTAGCAGGTTTACCAGAAATAAAAACAACTACGAATTAACGAAATCAAGTATAAAAACATCAAAATCAACTACAAAATTGTCGAAATCAACCATAACAAATCGGAAAGAACTACAAATGTCGAAAACAGCCAAAAACTATCGAAAACAATTATAAAATGTTGAAATCAACTTTAAACTGTTCCCTAATTAGCTTGTAATCGAATTCATGTAAAACTTAATTGAAAAAAAAAATCAAATATAGTCTCAAACCAAAAACTCAAAAAGTATTTGGCTTGCTCGGAAACCGTGGACACGAGATCCGTCCTTCACCTTTTCTATTCCTTCACTTTTTCATCATCTCCACTTTTGAAGAGATTCGTCGTCGGCGTAGAATCTAAACTGAAATAGAGGATTGTTGGTGGTGGGCCGATAATAAGGGCAACAACGAGGGTGTGGTCGTGCCTTTGGTTGAGAACTACAAGCGGCTGTTACTTGTAAACTCGACCTAGCAGCCATTGGCAAGAGGATTCGAATTCAAGCCTACTCCATGTAGTAAATTATGAATTGTTAAAATGAAACAAATTTGTTCAAAATAATGAAATTCATTTGCTAATAAAATCCCCAGAATTGATAGTTCCCAGTATAAGATTCAGATCTTCATCTATTCTTCATGGTACTTTTTTCGTTTTTTATATTGAAATTGTCTCGATACTTGCGAGAAATTTACGAATTTTGTGGCAAGATACACCTAGCGACGTTGACAAGGGGATACGAAACTGTGTCAATTTCACACAGACTCACTCGCTCCAAACTGCTGGCCTCCAGTTATTTTTAAATTATGAAAAATAATTTATTTAAATTCCACAATTTTAATAAATTAGTTCACTACCAATTTTCATCGAAACAAACTAATTCTTCCTCAAAATTTGGAAAAATTGTTCAATCTGTTAACATGGTATTCGCATTGAGCAATATTTCTGTACATTTGTTAGAGACATATGTTTAAGGTTTATTAAAATTCAAATATAAAATATAGTCCCTCTTATTTACATGGTCAAATCAAGAACCCATCAATCAAGGAATTACATAGTTATTCATCCTTCTCCTATAAATAACCCTTCACTTATTCATCTCCAAAAACCAACCATTTTCCCAATTAATGATTCTGTAAAAAACAAAAAAAACAAAAAAAAAAAAAGAAGCATGGCCAATACTATAATACATAGATCAATTTTCATTTCCTATATAGCCCTAATTACAACATCCCTAATTACTTCAATACCCAAATCAGAGGGTTTCTCAGTTGACCTAATCCACCGAGACTCCCCAAAATCCCCGTCGTACGACCCGTCGCTGTCGCCCCACCAACGGCTCACGAAAGCCGTCCACCGATCGTACAACCGCGCCCATCGCTTCTTCAACGCCACGAAGTGGATCTCGACGCACACCCCTCAGACGAACATCGTCAACCATCTCGGCGAGTACCTCGTGCAGTACGCCATCGGCACCCCGCCTTTCCCTTCGCTCGGCGTGTTCGACACCGCGAGCGACGTGACGTGGACTCAATGCAAGCCATGCAAGAATTGCTTCGCGCAGAACCTTCCGATCTTCGCGCCGCACAAGTACTCGTCCACGTACAAACGATCCCGTGCAACCACCCCCGTTGCACCGCACTTCCAACAGACCACGTGCAGTAAGACCCCGAGAAAGACGTGCCTCTACTCGGAGAGCTACGCGGGCGGAAGCTTCTCCGAGGGTGAGCTGGCGGTGGACACCCTAACCCTATCCACGCGTAGGGGCAAAACGGTCTCGATTCCGCACGTTAAATTCGGGTGCGGGTTTAGGAACGGGGTTCCGTCAGGGGGTGGGGGCGAGTCGGGGGTGGTAGGTCTCGGAGGCGGCCCGTCATCGCTCGTGAGGCAGTTGGGACGTTGGACACGTGGCAAATTCTCGTACTGCCTCGTCTCGGTGACCGATCAATCGAACTCGAGCAAGTTGAATTTCGGGTCAACGCTAGGGTTTCGGGGAGGGGGTTGTTTTCGACACCCATGGCGTGGAAGGAGCCGGTGACTTTCTACTACTTGACGATGGAAGGAATCAGCATCGGGAACCGACGGCTGAGATACTCCGACGACGACGACGAGAAGAAACCGAAACCGAAACCGAAACGGAAAGCAGAAGAAGAGGGTAATATTGTCATTGACTCGGGTACAACGTTGACTTTGCTGCCGTTTGGTTTGTACGGAAGGATTGTGGAGGTTATGAAGAGTAGTATAAAGGTGGAGCGCGTGGCGGACCCACAGGGGGTGTTGGAGCTGTGCTACCGTCTGAAGAGTGGTGACGTCATGAACATGCCAGCTGTCACGGTTCATTTCAGAGGGGCTGACGTGAGGCTGACGGAGGATAACGTGTTTGCGCGGATGAGTGACGTCATGGTGTGCTTGGCGGCGATGCCGGTTGAGGGGCGGGATGCAATTTATGGAAACTTGTGGCAGGTGAATTTCTTGGTGGGGTATGATTTGGTGAAGAGAACGGTGTCGTTTAAGGCTGCTGATTGTGGCCAATGATTATTTACTATTGGTTTTTGATTTTGGCTGAATAAAGAAATTCATAGATGCTGAAATCATTAATTAAGATTTTTTTATATATTTTTATTCGTTTGAGATTCGGATCTTCTTTATCTGTTCTTGATGGTACATGTATGTATCTTCCTGTATTGAAATCATTAATTAAACACTTTTCGATTGTATTCTTGATTTTGGGACTGCTGAAGATCGGGGTAAAAATTGGAACGGAATTTTTTATTTTCGCCGATTTCAATTTGAAATTTTTCGATTTTGGAACAATATTTTTCGGTTCGAATTCCAATTTTCCTGAAATTATGAAATTGGAATTTATATGAGGTTCCCGATTGCCGATCCGATTTAAGTTTCGAAAATAATTCCGAAAAAAATCCTTTTTCTTTTTTTTCGAATATTATACTCAAAATACTAATATTATTACCGTATTTTATATTTAAGGCGACCAAAACTGGAACTTTCCGAATTCCACTGATTTTGATTCGAATTTTCCAATTTTGGAACAAGTTTTTTCACTCCGATTTCCGATTTTTTCCGATTTTCTTGGAACGGAATTGGAACTAGTTTTTAATTTCCGAAAAAAATTAAAAATATTCCGAAAAGGCTAATTCTGATATGATTTGTGCGATTTACACTGCTAGTTGAAGAGTTTATCCAAATCAACAAACACCAATTTGAATTGACCGAGGGATATGCTAAAAACCAATGTTATAAGAACCGGACCGAACCGGCCGGTCGGACCGGTTCAACCGCGACCCGGCGACAAGGCGGTCCGGTTTGAGCTCCAAAACCGGAAAAATCAAAAACCGGGGTCAAATGACCGAAACCCGGTTCAACCGGGCGAAACCCGGAAACCGGCGAACCGGTTGATAACCCCGGTTTTTGTCAAACCAAGTAAATGGTGGACGGATCTCGCCCGTAAGAGGCTGTTATGTGGGCGGACCTGCGCGGCGGCGGCTGAATCCGGTGGTCGGAGGCCCGCCGTGGACGGATCTGAGCTGTGAAGACTGATAAGTGGGCGGATCTGGGCGGCCGTGGGCTGAATTCGGTGGTTGAAGGCTAGAAATAGAGAAAGAAATGGGGAAAAGATAAGGAGAAAAAGAAAAGAAGGAATAAGGGTTTTTTGGATTCAAGGACAGAGATGGAGAGGAGAGAGAGAGAGAGAGACAGGGAGGGGGGGGCTGCCAACGTGAAGAAGAAAGAAAAAGGAAGTGGAAGAGAGAGAAAGTCAAAGATGAAAGAAATATGAATAAAAAAATAAAATAAAGTAAAATGAGATTAGGCAAATGTGGTATTAATATGGAAAAATGTGGAAAAAGATATATAGAAATATAATATTTTTGAAGCTTAAAATTAATAAAATAATTAAAAAAAATTAAAAAAATTAAAAATTAAAAAAAATAAAAAACCCGGGTCGAACCCGGTTGAACCGGTCCAACCGTGACCCAAATGCCTGTCCGGTTTTGCGTCCGGGTCGGTTCTGATAACATTGCTAAAAACTGAAATCGAGAATATCGCAGGGAGAGTAGGAGATTTGATATAGATAAATCTATTAGCTTAAATTTAGCTATCTTTTCAAATTATTCAAATTATATTGACTCCAAGTTTCAAAAGGAGCGATACACAATGGATATATATGGGTGCGGAAATCGAGCAGATCAAGTCGAAATCGGCACTTTCCGAAAAGTTTGAATATTTTTCACGAACTGAACAAACAAATTCTAGTTTTGTTCCAAAAAAAAATTGGAAAATTTTGAAAAATAATTTTCAAAATTAGGAATGAAAACACTTGTTACAAAAAAAAACAAAAAAAAAAAAAAAAAAATCAGATCAACACTGGCCGAAATGAAAATTTCATGAAATTAGCCAATTTTTCACCTATAATATAAAAAACATAGTCAATTAATATTATAAATGAAATTGTAAAAAAAAAAAAATTAATTATTTTCAGGAGTTAAAGTCGGATTTAAAATTGATGTATAGTATTTTATTCCATTTCCGATCCAAAGTATTAAACAAAAAACTCGGAAAATCATTATTTTTAGAATTTGGAATCATTAAAAATTAAATCTAGCTTAGGAAGTGCCTTAAATTAGCCCTAAAAATAACGGATATATGTTTTGAAATTCAAAAAAAATATGTATAAGAAATTGGTATATGTATTTCTTTTTGAATATGTAAAAATATATGAAATCTATGAATTAAATTCAATTAAAACCCCAATCTCGTTTACAATTTTGTCTCAGATTCTTTTTTTTTTTTTTTCCAATTGATATATTGCCAAAATTGTCTAAAGAATATACAAAATCTAGTCAATGATACTTAATTAGCATAAATTACGTACATAAATTCATCTAGTGTAGTCAATGAACAATTATAAATAATGGTTCATTGTTCTTCATTAATCTTACAAAGAAAATGGCAAATACAATGAGCTTCAAATCCATTTTCATAACCTATGTAGCATCACTAATAATAATAATAATTTCCCTTATCTCCATCTCGAAATGCGATGCATCTTCGTCGAAATCGGGTTTCACCGTCGACCTAATCCACAGAGAGTACTCCCCTCAATCCCCTTCGTACGACCCGTCGCTATCGCCCTACCAACGTCTCGCAAACGCGGTCGAGAGATCGAGAGATCGCGCCCGTCGGTTCGACACGAAGAGGATCGAATCCAAACAAACGGACCCTCGACCGGAAATCGTCAACGCAAGAGGAGAGTACCTCATCCAATACTCGATCGGCACTCCGCCGGTCTCGTCGTTGGGCATTTTCGACACGGGGAGCGACCTTTTGTGGACTCAATGCAAGCCCTGTCTGAAATGCTTTACGCAAAAACTTCCGATCTTTACGCCAAACGCTTCCTCCACGTACCGACGAATCCCATGCAACAACCCGAAGTGCACTTCCTTGAAAGAAACCTTCTGCAGCAAATCCCGGAAAAAAAACTGCCTATATGGGGAGAATTACGCCGACGGATCCTCCACAAACGGCGAGCTCGCTCTAGATACATTGACACTAGCCTCTAGCACTAAGGGCAAAACGGTCATTTCCCCGAATTTCAAATTCGGGTGCGGATTCAGCAACAACATGCCGTTTACAGCTGGCGAATCGGGGATCGTGGGTCTCGGAGGCGGGCCCGCCTCGCTGGCGAGGCAACTGCCGTATGCTCGGGGGAGATTCGCTTACTGCCTCGTGTCGTTGTCGGACAATAGGTCGAACTCGAGCAAGTTGAGTTTCGGGGCCCGCGCTAGGGTTTTGGGACGGGGGGTGGTTTCGACCCCCATGGTCCGGAAGGATCCCGAGACGTTCTACTACTTGACGATGGAAGGGATCACCATCGGGAACCAACGGCTGAGATTCGACGATGACAAAAACCCTAGAGCACGTCCGGAGGGCAATATTATCATCGATTCCGGGACGACGTTGACTTTGCTACCGTTCGGTTTGTACGATAGGATTGTGAAGGCGTTAAAGAGTAGTATAAAGTTGAAGGAGATTGAGGATCCACAAGGGGTGTTGGAACTTTGCTATTATTCGAAGGATGACGCGATCAAGATGCCACGTGTCACCGTGCACTTCAGAGGGGCGAATGTGGACTTGAAGCAAGACAATGTTTTTGTTCGGACGAGTGAAACGTCGGTGTGCTTGGCGGCGCGGCCGGTCGAAGGCGAGGCTATTTATGGAAACTTGTGGCAGGTGAATTTCTTGGTCGGGTACGATCTTTCGAAGAGGACGGTGTCGTTTAAGGCTGCCGATTGTGGTCGACCGTGATTAAAAAAAAAATTATTTAGATAAAAAAAAATAATATAGATCTTGAACTTATGTAATTAATTTCAAGATTTTTATAAGTTAATGAAGGGAAGATTCAAAATGAGTCATGAATATAAGTCTAATTCCTTAACTAAAATGCTAAATAACTAAAATTATCGAATCACGCACACGTTAAAATCCTCCAACACCGAAAAAAACCATACTTGTTTTCTACCACAAAATCAGACACCAAAAAATTCAAAGTAGAAATTTGAGGAAAATCTTCACAAATTTAAGCTACATTTATGTAGCTACTAATTTCATGGTTTGAACGAATTCCCCGATTTCTCTCTTTTTTTTTTTTTTTTTTTTTGATTTAGTAATTTTTAGTGTAAGATTTTCCACGCCCCATCTCTTAATTATTCAATGACTTATTTGACCTGTTACAAAAGATTTGAGTAATATACAGAAGTAAATCACATCGCATTAGAAGTTTAGAACATATACCAAATTTCAAGATGTCTCTTTGACTTGTCAAAGTCAATGAGTATAATCTTGCAATTTCAACTAATTAATAGTTTTCTAAAAAATGTCAAGAAAATCTTTAAATTAATACCAAAAATATATCAAGAAAATCTTTAAAATAATACAAAACAAACTCTCACTCCATAACAATTTTCCCCCCTATAAGAATAACCTTTGCACTTCTTCTCCAGATCAAAATCATTAAAAAAAAAAAAAAAAAAAAAAACATGGTCAAAACAATGATCCTCAAATCAAATTTCATAGCACTAATTTTCCTAATTTACATGTCTAAATGTAATTCATTAACAAAAACAACAAACACCACAGGTTTTACTACACAACTAATCCACAGAGACTCTCCTCAATCTCCTCACTACAATCACTCTCAATCTCCTTACCAACGCCTCGCAAACGCAGTCCAAAGATCGTTCAATCGCGTCCGTCGATTCAAAACGAATCGCCTTGGATCAGAATCTCCCGTCTCGGAAATAACCAACTCCGGTGCGGAATACCTAATGAAATACGCTATCGGCACACCACCGATCCCCTCATTAGGAGTCGCCGACACGGGCAGTGACATCATCTGGACGCAATGCCAGCCCTGTCAGGATTGCTTCAAGCAAAAACTCCCGTTTTTCAGACCGAAAATTTCTTCCACGTACAAAAACATCCCATGCGATACAAACAACTGCAAATCCTTCCAAGAAACTTCTTGCAGCGAAAAAAAATGCGTCTACACCGAAACGTACGGAGATGGATCGTCCACTCAGGGCGATCTTTCTATAGATACGATCACATTCGCCTCATCAAACGGCCGACGTACTATTTCCGCACCTAATATTATATTCGGTTGTGGATTTAGCAATAGTCTCCTCATTCCTGCTGGAGAGTCGGGAATCGTCGGTCTCGGAGGTGGGCCCGCTTCGCTCGTGCGACAATTAGGCCCTTTAGCTAATGGCAAATTCTCTTACTGCTTGTCTTCAGACAACTCGAGGCCTAGTCAGCTGAGTTTCGGCGACAGTGCTGTCGTCTTAGGGAGAGGTGTCGTTTCGACCCCATTGGTTAAAAAATATCCCGAAACGTTCTACTACTTAACTTTGGAGGGAATCAGCATCGGGAATCAACGGCTGAAATTCGACGATTTCAGTAGTGGGGTCAAAGGAAACATTGTCATTGACTCGGGTACTACGTTGACTTTGCTTCCGTTCGATTTTCACGCGAAAGTGGAGAGTGCGATGGGGAGGTTGATTAAGTTGAGAAAGATTAAGGATCCGCGAGGGGAGTTGAGTTTATGCTTCTTTTCGAGAGACGGCATAAAGAATATTCCCGATGTGACGGTTCATTTCGAAGGGGGTGACGTGAAGTTGAGGCAAGAGAATCTGTTCGTACGAACAAGCGACGTGTCACTCTGCTTTGCTGCTCAGCCTGTCGATGATGTTGCGGTTTACGGGAATGTGGCGCAGAAGAATTTCTTCGTTGGGTATGATCTTCAGAAGAGGACTGTCTCATTTCAGGCAGCTAACTGTCGGAAATCATGATATTGTCGGAAATCGGCGAAATTAAAATAAATATTAATATTGCTATTATGATTGTAATTATCAGAAAGATCGAAATTTCGAATTAACTTTCGGAGATTTAAATCAGATTGAGATTTCCAATTCTAGTAAAAAATAAAATCGGGAAATCGGAAATTGGAATGAGAAATATTGCGCTGAAATCGGAAATTTTCTTATTGAAATCGACGGAATTTGAGAATTCCGTTCCGCATTCCACCCTTTGCCCGAATGCCAAGAATTTGGACAGGGTCCAACACCTTAAACATGATATTCAGTGAATCATTCATACGAAACAAACAAATAGCCGTTTCAATTACCAACCAATAAAGATTTAAATAAAAACGACACGGTTTTCTTCTGTATGTTAAGCTTTGCTACAATCAGTCGGCTTAAACGACACGGTTTTCTTCTTCAAGTCATAACCAACCAAGAAATTCATCTGCGCCACATTGCCGTAAATCCCGAAACTCGTAGCGGGTGCGAAAGCAAAGCACAGTGAGTTATCTCCGGTCCTAATAAACGTGTTCACGGTTTTCAACTTCACATCTGCCCCCTTAAAATGTGCAGTAATTGCAGGAACCTGAGGAACCTCCCCTGTAGACAAATAGCACAGATTCAACACCCCCTGTGGATCACTAATCTGCTTCAACTTCACCTGACTCTTCACCGCCGTTACGACCTGATAGTACAGATCAGACGGCAGAAAAGTCAACGTCGTACCCGAGTCAATGATCATGTTCCCTTCTTCGGACGCGCTCGAACCATATAAAGAAGACACATCCAATCTCTGCTTGCCAACTGTCAACCCTTCCAAAGTCAAGTAATAGAAAGTCTTGGGAGTTTTCTCCACTATAGGCGTCGACACCACACCAGCGCCCGAAACAACCGCGTTTTCTCCGAAATTCATCTTGCTCGATTTCGCATTCCCGCTGAGGAAAGGCACAAGGCAGTAAGAAAACTTGCCCTCGATCGAAGATCCCATTTGAGTTATTAAAGATTCTCGACCGCCACCTAGCCCCACAATACCCGACGCACCTGCACCAAACGTGCCTTGGTCCACATGCCCGCAGCCTATGATCACGTTAGGGATAGAAACGCCCTTTAACGTGATCTTTTCTGTGGCGAGGTCGCCCTTGCTGTACGATCTGTCGCCGTACATCATCGTATAAAGGCACGTACCTGTCGTGCTATTGCAGGAGCTTCTTTGGAGGGAAGTGCAAGTGGTTGAACTGCAAGAAACCTGTTTGTACGTCGAGGAACCTTTCGGGTCGAAGATGGGCGAGTTCTGTTTGAAGCACGAAATGCATGGCTTGCACTGTATCCACGTGAGGTCACTGCCCGTGTCAGCGATTGCCAGGGTTTCGACCGCAGGTGTACCAAGAGAGATCTTCATTAGATACTCACCTCTATCCGAAACTATTTCGGTCGAGGTCGATTGCGGAAAGATGATATCATTATTGACGAGGCTTTTGGCACGGTTGAACGATCTTTGGAGGGCGTCTTGAACTTTTACGTCCGAGTGTGGTCGTAACGAGTCTCGGTGGATGAGATCAACGGTGAAACCAGCTCCGTCGGAAACGGAGATGACTGTGAAGAGTAAGGCGATGCAAGGTAGAAAAACCATGTTTGTTCTAGCCATGATTGTTGTCTTGGAGGATTTGTGTGGTGCAGGTGTCTGTATATATATTGAAGAATGGCAAAATTCATTTAATGGACAGAGATGAATGAGATTATCTCTAAGGGTTTTGGGGGATTGACATTTAATACACATTAATGAGAATTTTCCACTAAATTAGTATGGGAGCATAGCTTTATATCCTTTGAGAAAACTATGGAGATTTTTATTTAATGATATGAAGAATCCAAAATGGTTATCATATATAAAATGTTTATTCAATATATAATTATATATGATATATTTAAATTAATTAATTAAAAAACAAATTGAGAATGGAGCTGAAAACTGCTTTCAAAATTCAGGCTGCTGGTTTAAAATACAGGCCCCTGCTTTTCAGAGTGTTTGTTTTCAAAAGCAGTTACAGTTTCAGTTTACCCCCAAAACCCACCATCTTCGTTCTAAACCCAAGCAATACAGTTACACACAGATACACAGAAACCAAGAAATTCAACCACAGAGAGAGAGAGCTATGGATTCTTACCATTGCAGCAGGTGCATCAAGCTCTTCACGTTCACGCTTCCCCTGTTGTGCCTCCTGTCTTTGAGCTCCACCGCCGCCACTTTCCTTCCGCCGCCCTCCTCCGCTCTACTCGCCGCCGACACCCTCCGCACCAGAGGCTATACCCTCTTCGCATCCGTGATTGTCTCTTTCTCGTCGACGGCCAACTTCACCGGCACCCTGCTCGCCCCGCCGGACTTTGCGTTCTCCTTCGCCACCGCCAAATTCTTGACCAACCCCCGCCCCTCCATCTCCCTCCTCCAATACCACACCCTCAAACCGCCGTTCGTTCTCACGTGGCCGGACCTCTCCTCCCACGACGACGGCGATGAGCTCCGCACTTTTTTCAACAACAACTGCCTTTACCTCTTTAAGAAATCGTACGGCGCCGAAGTTTCGATTTCTTCGTCTCCGTTCAGGAACCCAGCCCTGGCGGTCAAAATCCGCCAGCCAGATCTTTACGTGGACGAGCATCTCACCGTCCACGGAATCGACGGCGTATTGGACCCAACGTTTGCTAGAAAATGCACTGTTTCAGATGTTGTTGATCCGGCGGCGGAGTCCGGTTCAATTCTGGTGAACCGGGTTTTTCTCGACCGTGCGATGCGGGTGTTGAGGAGGAAGGGGTACAGTGTGGTGGCTGCGGCTATGTCCGTCAGAAGATCAGATCTGTTAACTTTGACGTCCGTCACTGTTTTCGCAGTTTCCGACGAGAATCTGTTCCTGAAACCCCAAGGTTTCCGTTACGATTTCCGTCACCACGTCGTTCCGTCGCGGTACTGTATTGCAGGTCTTTTGGCTTCGATGTCTGTTGGAATGGAGGTCGGCACTTTGGCTCCGAACATGACTCTCCTCGTCAGTTCCGTCGACGGCGCGGTTAACGTTAACGGCGTCGCGGTGGACGTGACGGAGGTTTATCGCAGCGGGTGGATTGTTGTGCTCTCAATCATGACGTCATTGGATGACGCCGTCAATTCTCAAGGCAAATCGCCGTTTGCCGCCGCAGTATCCGACGATCTGACTCCTTCTCCGACTCCATTTTCCGGCGTTTCTGCGCCCGCTAATTCACCTATAATTCCTTCTCCCAGTCCACTTTCCGGCGTTTCTGCGCCGGCTAATTCACCTAGAATTCCTTCTCCGAGTCCATTTCCCGGCGTTTCTACGCCTGCTAATTCACCTATAATTCCTTCTCCGATTCAATTTTCGGGCATTTCTGCCCCTGGTAATTCACCTAGAATTCCTTCTCCCAGTCCATTCTCCGGCGGTTCTGCGCCTGCTAATTCACCTAGAATTCCTTCTCCGGCGCCTTCGTACTATGTGGAAGCTGTGAACGATAGCCCTAGCCCAGCGCCGGTTAATTCAGATCTGACTCCATCTCCGGAGCCAGATCTCGACAGAGAGATTGACGATTTATCCCCGAGCATCGTAAGTACCATCGGCAGCCCGTCGCCGGTTCCGTCTGGCCAGAACTCAGATTTTTCTCCGTCACCGGCATCTCCGACCATCGAAAGTACCACCGGCAGCCCGTCGCCGATTCCGTCAGGGCAGAACTCCGAAATTTCTCCGTCTGGGGCAGCTCTGAGCATCGTAAGTACCACCGGCAGCCCAACGCCGGTTCCGTCGGGGCAGAACTCAGAAATTTCTCCGGCGCCGGCGGATACAATAGATGACGACGGTGTCACTCATTGTGATTTCAACGCCATCGGGATCGAAGGAGGAGATCTCCTCTGCCCGATCAGCACTGCGAGGAAAATGCGGGAAACAGAGATTTTCAATGGTGCTGACGTGGACGAATCTAAGCCGTCGGATGCTGACAGCCAAGTCACCGATGATTTGACTCGATCTGACGAGGTCAAAATTGCTGAGAATGTCAACATTGCTGATGATCTATTCTTCTACATTTGATTGTTTGCCACGTGGCCTTGTATATCTTGCCAAATTTTTGTACCCAAATGAACATATTGTAAAATCAAAAGTTCCAATACACATATTTCCGTAATTTTTCCATATATCTTTTCGGTCCTTATCCTTTATTAAAATCTAGATGCAATTTATTTTTTTGAGTAAATTACAACCACACCCCTGATGTGAGAATTGATATTTGAAATACTTTATTAGTAGTAAGGGTGAAATTGAAAGAAAACATAAAATAATATATTGGAATTCCGAAACAAGACAGTTAAATTAAAACGAACGGAGTGACATTTAGATAACAAGTCTAAAAAGAAAAGGATAACAAGGATGAGTTCATAATCTCCATAGATCTATTTGATAGTTGTAGTAAACATTGGGTACCGATTTGGAATATTCTAGAGACATTGAGGACTAGTTTGATATTAGTATCAAATTTGGGGGTGTTGCAGCGTAAATTAGTAAATATTCGAAAATTAACCGTTTTCTCAACAGTCATAAACCGCTTCTTCTTCTCCCGCCGGTTATCAATTTGAACTAACAGATAATCTTAATTTTCTTCCTCGGAGAATCTGGCAACATTCGCTAACCCTAACACCACTCCGCCCGCGGCGCTTGGTCCACACCAGGCGTCGCCGCCACCACCACCACCACCGCTTCTCCCAAATTGAAAACCTAATTCCGCGATGGATTCCACCGCCGTATTTGCGTTTCACAACCACCCCTTCGCAGAAGAAACCCCGATCATCGACCCATTGTCCTACGATTTCTTAGCCGGAAACCCTAATCCTCCGTTGGACGACGACCAGACCTACTTCAATTTCGACCCGAGTCAACCAGGTCAGGAATTGAACGATATATTGGACGCAGACGATCCGTTGTTGGATCCTGCTATTTGGGCTTTTTGCAATGGCACCGAAGATGGAACCGGAAATTCTCCCGCCGGCCATTCCACGTTCGCTGGAGAAGGCTGCAGCAGCCACGCCATCGACGGCGACTTCAATAACGCCCCCGAAATTCCAATTTTCGAAGATCAACCAATGCCGATTTCTGTCTTCTCCGTTCCACAATCTCCGTATAATTGCACTTTCTGCCAAATACTTCGAGAAATCACACACACTAACGGTGTGAATCCCTAATTTCTAAGTTGATTAAATCATAACCTTTTTTTAAGTACAATTCGGTTCGATTAAATCAAATTATAATTTGTAGGAATGAACGTAAAAACGTGTAATTGTGAAATTTGATTAAATGTAAAAAATTGTAGGAATGAACGTAAAGCGGCTCGAGATTCACGGAATATTCGGAGTCATCACTCACGCGGTTCTCGGTATCTACGATTTTGATTCGTCTTCTCAAAGCCAGGATATTCAAATGTTCGAGTAAGTGTATCTATCTATCTATCTATCTATCTATCTATAAAATAAGTTATTTTTTTAACGGATGTTGAAAAAAAATCGAACTCTGTTTCACATTTGTTTCGTATGTATATAGTTTCCAAAACGAGAGCACGCAGACTGTGAAGAAGTTCTTGGTCCAATATTTGGAGGCTTGTAAACAAGAGGGGTATAATATACTGCAAGATCCACTCTCGACTTTTTACGAAGTGCTTTGTGTTGGACTGAACGAACCCGAAGATAATCTCGATGATTACTGTCAATTCACACCAGAAAGCGCAGGTATGTACGTATAAAATAACCAATTATACGATTCCAACACGAGCAAAAAAAACATAAATAATAAATCCTCGGAATTAATTGATCTGTTGTATTATAGGTGATTGCGTGTTTAACGAACAAGAAACGCTGAAGAAACGGGAGGGTGGAAGCAACCAGATGGGATCCATGAAAATCCCACTTGCTATGCAGGTTATTTTTTTATTTTTTTTAGTATAATTATTTTTTTTCCTGAAAAATGAAGAATGAATTTGGTTTTGAAACTTTAATTTTGCAGAGGGAAAGAACTAGAAACCTGAAGTTGAAGGATTTTATTGATTACTTTGATCTTCCGATAGAAGATGCCGCGCGGAAGATGAATATATGCCCGACTGTGTTGAAGAAGATATGCCGCAGAAATGGCGTCTTGAGGTGGCCTTACCGAAAGGTTTCTCTCTCTCTCTCTCTCTCTCTCTCTCTCTCTCTCTCTCTCTCTCTCTCTCTCTCTCTCTCTCTCTCTCTCTCTCTCTCTCTCTCTCTCTCTCTATATATATATATATATATATATATATATATATATATATATTTATGAGATAAATCATGAAATTGCAGATAAAAAGTATAAAGAGAAAAATAAGCAAGAAAACCAAGATATTAGATGCAAGTGGTGATTTTGATGAAAGAACAGGTGCTATGGAGGATTTACATAAGCATAAGCAAGAACTTGCAAAAATTTATCAAGAATTCAATGGCTGATCGGGCAAAACGCTTCTCGTTTTTTCGTTATTTTTTTCGCTGATTTTTTACCCAATTGTAATTAAATGATTTATTTCTCATTTTTTCTGTCACTCAGGTGCTTGTAAGGTTCAACTAGGTTCATGCCATTGTGTAATTAATTGATTTATATCTCATTTTGTCACTTTGTTGTATTTAAGGTTTTATTACAATTAGGTCCAAACAATGTCAGTAAATTACAAACAGCACCTTTTAAGGTAAGGAAAAAATATTACCAAACCAAAAGGGGAATATTCTGTTTTAAGAGGAGGGATATAATAAATAAGAGTATACAACAATGAACAACTGGGAAATTTTTTTCCCAGTATGCCAATTTGCATTGTAAATCCTGCACAAATATCTTACAACATTTCAAGAAAATCGGGGCCCGCAATTCTTGGCTCGAAAAAGAAACCATCTTTCACCAAGAATTACGACTACTACTCACTCGAATCTTTCTCCGAAACGGTCTACAAGCCTCGATACTAAGATCAACAGCAGCAGCAAGAGCCATAAATATAGCAGCATCCTCGACGCACGTCACGTGCCTCATCGCCAGCTGTACCGTCGGCTTGCTCGATTTCCCCTCCCCACACACCCGACAGCTCATCACAAACCCTCCGGCCACCGGGCTCAACTCCGTGAAGTCGCCGCTGCTCTGCGGGCTCGGCACGGCCGCCGCCGCCGCCGCCTCGGCCGTTGCCCGAATCTGGCGGTCGGTGTCTATGAAGAACTCGCCGCCCTTCTCCGCTCCGAGCGATATCTCGGAGATTAGGAGGTTCTTGCCCCCTTCTTGACCGTCGGAGAAGACGTGGAAGCGGAAGTTGACGGAGTCTCGGATGATTCCACCGCCTCGCCGCTCGCGCCACGCTTCGAGCTTGCCCCACGGCTGCCAGCTGTCGTGCTGGTACGGGTCGGGCCGGACTATCAGCCAGGCCCCCGGGTTGGATCGGGCGACCCAATCGCAGCCCGTTGACGGTACGAAGGGGGTTGTTATGAAGGCTGCTGCAACTGCCGAGCCGGAGAGGTCGTGTATTTTTACGTTCCAACCCTTTCTCTCTCTTCTCTCGGTGTCTTGGTGGGACCCGTCGCCGGAGCTTGACGCGAACGTGCTAAGTGGATCCACTTGGGATACCCTGTAATTTGTATTCAAACAAACAATTAGGCCATGTTTGGGAATCGTGATTAAGCTCGATACACAATAAATGATATTTACACAATTCTACGAAGGTTACTACGGAATATTGTGTAATCACAGATCCTAAAACGTAAGATAATCGCATACTAAATTACTGAAATACTAAATGTTCATTTCAATTTTTCGGGTACCGTTCCGACTTCAAATGTGATTTCGTCCTTTTTTTCTGCTCGAATTTCGCAAAACTCAAAAAACCAAATTTTGTAGTCCTTTGAGTCGGGACTTTGCTAGTAAAATTGAAACAACATTTAGCAATTAGCACCTCCCGATTAACATTATTACGGAAAATGGAGTCTTAACCAATTCAATCAATCTTATCAATCCCATCAACATTCCCAAACGAGACCTTAAGAAATATAACTAGTCAAATCTAAACCAACTATCGATCAATTACCTTTGTTATCTATATGTATTTTCTATCATTTCGATTTTTTTTTTTTTGCAAAAGACGAAAAAAAAGAACGAGCAAGCATCTTTATTTTAATTCACCTGTCTCGAATGAATTTGCAGCTGAAAATAGGCTGCTTCACATTGCCTTGCAGCTGCACAATTTGTGGACTCAACTTAGTCTCGTCTTCGAACTGAAACACGTATCTCGGATCAGGATCCAACTTCACCTTCAAATGGAGCTCCGCCCCACCAAGCTCCTGCCCGTTTTTCCCGATCCCAACCCACCCGTTGAAAAGAATCACGGGCTTCCCTTCTCCCCATTCGGGCCCCACATTCAACTTAAACACCCCTATTTGCCGCCTCTTCGTACCCACCCCGCAGTGGGTCCCTCTCCTCCCCGTGAAAACAACCACCTCGAGAAACGCACGCGCGTTGTAGAAACACCGAGGTGAAGATAGTACCTTCAAGTCCGATTCTTCGAGGTAAAAAGTTGATGCAACGGCGTGAGAGTTATTATTGATGGGAGATGATATAAATGGGATTTGTGTTGTCTGAACGGGAAATCCACGTAGGCGAATCTCGCACGCGCATGGAGACGATAATGCAGGGGTACTGGATTTTGATGCCTCGGGGAATCTAATTCCGAGAGAGCCGATTGATAATCTGATAAATGCTTGAGGGTCCATTTCGCCTAATCAGAAGAAATCGCCCATTTGCTGGAATAAATTGTCACGTAAGTAAACCGATAATTAGAATAACATCATTTACGAATAAAAGTTTAATCAAATAGAACGTAAAGCAAGAATCTTGAATCTTGTACCGAAATGATTATAAAGACTAGGAAAAGTAAGCTGAGAATCCTTGTAATAAACTTATATAACACTTCAAGATTGCAACTAAACTACATTCTTGTAGATATGAATAATTATTTACCCTTGCTTCTTATTTTCTTGAATTCGCCGTTGTAATGAAAAGGAAGCTATAATATATTTCAAAGCAATTTTCGGTATAAGTTGACACCAAAGTCCGTAAAATCGAGTAAATTGACCACCATAAACGCCCACATAAAGCCTGTAATAGCTGGGCATTAATCCTCACAGAAGCCACGTTTCGTCGAAACACTCCGGGCAGTAATTCTAGAAAGCTTCTTCTTTTTATTTTTTATTTTTTTTCTATAATCATTACTAACCCTAATAGAATTGGATTATGAATTGTGAAAGCCCTCCATTGCAAATTGTTATCTTTCCTTTGTAACAAAAAAAAAATCTTTATTCTAAATTCTTAACTCAATTTTTCCCCTCATCTGAGATTAAAACATACAGATCAACCCTGTTGACTAATTCAATTGTTAAAAAGTCTGTCACTCATAAAAATCAAATCTTTAACTCATAATTTCCTCCATTATCCAAACACCCCAAAAAAATTAAATCAAAAAAATTAAAAATTAAAAATAAAAATAAACACACACACAAAATTTCATATAAGCAATTGGGGAACACAAAACAAAAGTCAAATTCACAGAAAACCCAGAAAACTATAAGCATTTAAACAATCATGCAACAAGAGAGAGAGAGAGAGAGAGAGAGAGAGAGAGAGAGAGAGAGAGAGAGAGAGAGAGAGAAATTACCAAAGAACCCACCTTTGATGTGGGAAAAAAGAAAAGTCTTGTTCTACATGGAAAACAAAACCCCACTTCAACAGTTGAAAATACAAAGAACTCAACTTTTCATCCCAGAAAGCTGCCAAATTCCCATGGCTTTTCCCCCAAACAATTTCATAAAAGAAAAAAAAAAAAGTTAAGGTTTTCAGCAAAATACACACACAGACACACACTAAAATGGGCTCTTTTTCTCTTTTCACTGTTTTGCAGATCCAAGAAAAAGGTAATGCAGGAGAGTGATCAAAAGATAGGATTTTTGGACGAATAGAAAGTGTGTATTAATTAATGATTGGAAAAAGAAAAAAAAAAAAGAAGTATTACCACCAAACACAACCTCCAAGAAATTGTCACATAGACTATGCACAGATCACGAGAAATGCAAACTGTGTATGAATGTGTGTTTCTTGGGGTTGACTTTTTTTATCAAGTGTGCGTTGTCGTATGTGTAAATGTTTCTTCACTACATACTGTGTGTATTGTGTATCTGTGTGTGTACAAAGAACCAGAAAAATAGAGGAAAAGAGAAAGGAATGTATATATATATATATATATATATATATATATATATATATATATATATATATATATATATATATAAGTATTGAATTACTTATTACTACTTCTTAAACTGACAGAAGTGGATGACAGACCACATTCCTTACATTCTTTCTATCCGAAACTAAAATTACAAGTGGAGAAAATTAAAAAAAATTAAAAAATTAGTTTATCCATTTCAAAAATTGAACTAAGAATTGTTACTATTGACTAAATGAATTCTACTATTTGAAATTTATGCAATATAAAAAAAATTTAAATTACGGTGACGTCTTGAGATAAGATCAAATTATGAAAAAACCCTTTATGTTTGGTTAATTGCAACCACCTCCCTTAATGATGAATTTTCTTACACGTCCACTCTTACGGTGCCAAATTTAGTGGAATCTTGTAGGTTATGTGGAATATTCTTCAGTTTGTACCCATTTTACCTCATTCGAGCTCCACATTTTAAAACAAGATGATCATAATATGTGTCTCTTGGCTCGTAGATATCAGATTTTGTGTTGCATCAGAAATTGAGAACATTCCACGTGATTTTAATTACCCAAACAATAAGGGTTTTTTCGTAATTTGATCTTATCTTAAGATGCCGTAGTTGCAATTATCTAAACAAAAAGAAGTTTTTTATAATGTGATATTATCTCAAGGAGTTGGCTGTAATTTACCATTTTATAATTAAATTAATGAGAGTACTTCATAGGAATCCGATGTGGGAAGTTTATCATTTGAAGAAAAGAAATGTTACATTTTCAAATTGACTAAATGGCACTTATCATTGTATTTTAGTATTTGGCATTTATCATTGTATTAAGCTTATATAAAATATATTTGATAGTAACTACTAATAAGCCTTAAATCATCTTCTTGTTATTTAATGAACTTGTATAAACTTTCGGCGATTAATTACTTTTGATTGTAATTGGTAATCGGACCATGTGAGTTGAATTTTAATCTTGGCTGAAGCTCAGAAATTATCAGACCTCATTATTATGGACTCAAACTCGACTTATATATTTTGTCGGGTTTCGAATTGATCATATAAACTTTCAATTTGTTAAGTAATTATATGACTAGAAATGCGTCATTTTCCAAAATGAATAAATATAAAACAAATAGAAGCAGTTCTAAATGTAACTTGTATTTTTTGCATCATGGTCCAAAACGAAAGTTTTATTTTTTATTTTAATTATTAAACTAATCGGACGGACCTTATTTAGGTCGAGCTATAGCGAACTCAAACTTGGCTCGTAAATAAATCAGGTTTAATAAAATGGCTCAAACTTGATCCGGCCACTAAAAATAGGCTCGACTCATATATAATCGGGCTAAGCAATCAAGTTTTGATTATAGGCCCAATTTTCTTTTTTTAATTCTTGCAAATTATTATATCCTTTCACATCTATTTTGGCGATAAATAAAAATAGAGTTTGGTTTGATGGGCAGTTGGCAAAGGTAGAATATTGGATTATTTAATTGAAGATATTGTTGGTAAAAGATAAATAATATATTATTATTTAACATTTAGATACAATATATATACACTATATGTATGTAAAAAAAAAGAGTGGGCCTTTTCTTTTATCTTTCTTTTTCCATTAATACTTACAGCTGTGCCCAACTATTTTGTACACATTAAACAACACTCATTTGCTTTAATTATTTATATTTAAATTTGAGCATAGCCTTGTAGGAATTAATGTACGAATTTCAGTTTGCTTAATATATAATATTAGTTAATATATACATAATATGTATTGAGTATAAATAATTAAATACATTGTATAACAACACTTGTAATTAAAGTCAAAAGATGGGTTCACATTATTTGTGTTATGTTGCAATTTTTTTTAAGCAACAAGAATTTGACGTCACACCTAGTCATTGCTTTGGTCATATGTAAATTCAATAAGTTATAAATCAATTTAATAATTTACAGAGAAAAATAAAAATTACAAAGTAATCATCCGAGAGTAAAAAACGTCGGAATTATGAGCGAAGAGAAGGAGTTTGACCCTCGTTGGGGGTTTGTCATACTAAAGTACTTTGTCATTCTGATCAAAAGTCGGGTTTGCTTCTCGCAGTATATAATTTAGACTTTATTAATAGAGTATTTTGCATCTACTGCCTCTCATAAAATTTTATTTTAAATATTTGAAATTTTCATCACACTTGCTCGATCGGCATTGGTCTTTTGACAAATCGAATCGTAATGGCAAAGTAAACGAAAATATGAAACCGTCTTGGTTTCTCGATTGGGTTTTTTTTTTTTTTTTTTTCTTTCTAAATTTGTCTTAAAACAGTTTTATAATAATTCTCAATAAAATAAAAAGCATTTGACTGAGCCAGGTCTTTATACATCTGATGGAAAAACAGAAAACAGATGGAATTGATTTGCACTTCCAATTATTGCAAGTACTTTTTTTTTTATTGCAATTTGTTGAATATATAAATTAAATTTGATTTCATCTACGTGACATGATATCTGAATCTTCAATATCTGTATTCTGTATAATGTTTAAGTATTAAATAGTAACAATATATGTTATAATTATTTAGGGAAAAAAAATAAAAGATTCTAGCAAGAAAAAGAAACAAGACAATTAACAATATATATATATATATATATATATATATATATATATATATATATATATAATATATTCTTTTTCTTTTTTTTTTCTTTTCAAAAGAGTGTTTACATGGAGTCTAACTACTAAAAAATGGTAGCAAGAAAATGCCACACAAAAAGATTTTTATTTATTTGTTTTACTTTTAACTTTTTATTTATTGTTTAAAAAAAATATTTGAACTAGGAAAAAATAGCAAAAAAGAAATAGTGGGAGAAAAAATGTTTGAAAAAGGAATATAGAGCAAAGAATATTGATGAATGACAGCTAATGCGCAAGTGTAAGTAGCGGCGCGGGCCCCAAAATAGCGACTTTGCCGCCAAATCGCACATGCGACTTTTAAGACCAGGCCAATACAAAGCGCGCCAAATTCACCATTTTTTTCTCTCTCTCTCTCTTAGTACTAATTCTTTGGTTAAATGCTAAAAAATCAATAAACTTCATCTAATCACATTCTATTGATGGAGGTCGATTGAACCCTCACCAACATTGCCCCTTCTAGAACACTTTCTAACATCTCGATCACCGAACCTGAAATTCGGGGATTAAGCCCCGTGGGAGACTCTCCGACGCACAAGTTAGTTTCAGGGAAAACAGTTCAAAGAGAGAGCAAAATGATAAGGAAAATGAATGGAGAGTGTGATGCGAGTTCGATGTCTTAGAACGTGTTTTAGTGTGTGTAAGAGTGTGTAAATAAAATGTACCTCTTATTGGTCCGAATATGAGATATTTACAAATCATATTTATTCTTGAGGTTTGACCTAATTCTGAGTCGATTAAACATAATATTATTGGATCACGGTCCATCAATAGACTTAATCCCAAATATTTATACGAGCACAATAGTTTGCCAAATCAACTCCATCAAAGACTTTTCTGGCAAAAAAGTAACTGTCTGGGAATATTAGAGTTATTTCTATGCTACACCCGATGAATGTTAGAATGGGTGAATCTTTATTGTTAATCTACACACAACAATGTGAATGTGTGTGTTTGTGTACATATGAACGGTAAAGATCTACTCAATGTAGCATAGTATAAACTGTATATTAGTTGAAACATAAAACATGCATTATGTATTTATGTTAAAACCCTACACATGTTTGCTGCATTTTTTCTCGGGAAACATTTATGTAACAAAAAAATTAATTATTTTCTTGTTGTATTTTTAATAAAACGGAACAATAAAGTGGTCCACGATAGAATCAGGCAACTCTATGAAATATTGTAAATTAAATGCAATTGTAAAATTTTGTGGGGACTCTTTCTTCTATGTTAAAGATCCCAATTCATTAATTAGTATACTGTCTATATTTGATGTGGACTGCTATCTCATAGTGGATTTACATTTTATCAACTTGATGAAACTCAAAATATTATAAGAGATTAGTTGGGTATTAAGCCTAATTAAGTATGAGTTTAATCACATAAAACCCCATATATTAAGGAAAATGTACACAAAAACCCCTATAAAAAGACGTTGGACATTTTGTTTGTTTATTTAATTAAAAACGCACAATTTTAAGTGAAAAAAAAAAACTCGATTTTCACTTGAGTTATGACATTAGGTTCAACTAGTCAAATCGAACTCGGCAAGACAACGTTGCCTCGCGGTTCTGCGGTCCAAGTTTGAAAACAATGTCTTTAACATGGATATATCATATATATAGCTTTTATGTTATTGAACTGTCATTTAAAGATACAATTAATTTTGAGCGACTATAAATTAAATAAATATGAGGGGAATATGAAAATTTAAATATATATATTGAATTTCAAGAAAGGTCTAGGATTATATCACGAGACAAGTAATTGACTGACATGTGGCTCGGACCGATTTTCCAGCTGGCAAATTATCTAATGCCATGGAAATTAAATACAACTTGAAAAAATATGTTGGTTATTTTATTAAATAGCACAACTTGTATGTATGTATGTATATATATTTCACTGTATTAATGAGAAAAACAACGTAATGGTGAGACAGCAGCACATGGGGGATATATTGCTAAAAGATTATTGACCTCAAAATTAAAGCATTTTTATTGGAAAAAAAGGGCAGCTGAAAATGAAGGGTAAAATTATAAATTAAATAAATAATTGCAATACGATTGCGACTCCAAAACGATTTCGTCGATCATCATCATCAAATCATATATAGTTATCTCATTCTGCGTTGAGTCGACTCACTACTCGATCTGCGGTCGAGTGTCGGGAGTGAGTCGACTCATAATCGAACACCAAACTATGTCCATGTTTATCATACCGTATGGTCCATGTATGCGTCTTTCCTACCACCAATTGGTTTTAAAATAACTGGTATCACATAAAATTATAAATTATAAATTATATATATATATATATATATATATATATATATATATATATATATATATATATATATATATATATATATTCTTAAAATGTATGTGGTTGAGAGAAAATATGTATAAGGGCACAGGGATAGCACCTGAACCTGAGGGCATTGGCTCCACAGACAAAGAGCTAGTTTGGGGGATACTTGTCTCCTCCCTTTGCTTAATATGTCTATCATTTTTTATTTATTTATTTCAATATCTTTATATATATATATATATATATATATATATATATATATATATATATATATATATATATATATATATATATATATATATATATATATATATATATATATATATATATATATATATATATATATATATATGTAGATATATATATATATAT